GTACGGATTTGACATCTAAAAATAGTGCTAATTTGTACGATCCCATCGATACCAAGAACGTCCTAATCGGTGGAGATTTGACGGAGTTCCGTGTTGGAGAAGTTAGGCACAGCAGGTCACGAGTATGTGCGGGCGTGGGAATCTCAAGCGGCAACCCAGATTTCCAGCCTCACTCGTTCCCATGGCATCTAATAAATCGGTAAAAATGCTTATCGGCTGCGTAATAGTTCTATTCAGCTACATTTCCAATTTCGGATCTTAATTCCGTAAATCCGTTGAGAAATCGCTTATTTTCTTATATTTTCATATTTTGCCATCATTTCAGTTATTGATCAATACTCTTTTATTGATACTGTTACCCTTTTTTATTATTTCGCCTAATAAGGTATCCAGATGCCATATGGTACCAATATTTGCCATCTATTCTTTCTAAAAATAATTATTAGATATAATCCTGTACATACCAGATTTTAAAAAGAAGTTCTCCCCTCCCCCAAATTCTCTAAGGTGCTAGGATGCGCTAGAGTTGGAGTGAGTGAGTGGAATTCCAACAGTAGGAATAAGGGCAGCTGTCTAGCTCACAACGAGTGAGTAGTGGACGCTGAGCCCGGACCTTGCGGAAATCCCGGAGAACCCACATGGAGTTTAAGGATCGAGAGTCGAGCAAAGTCTAGAGAGAAAGTGAAGTTTTAGGAGAGTTTGGCCCCACGAGCTTAGTCGGCATAGAGAGCCGCTAGCCCTCTTGCAACGTCCACTGCGTTCAACCCAAATATTCACTTCCCTTATCCTTACACCAATATTCCTCCCGACTCCATCATACAGACATCAGATGAGGTATTATTTCATGTCCATCGCGACAGGCTTCAAACCCGCTCCTGCACGGCTTTTGGTGGTCTATTCACAGATAACGGCACCGTTGGGCTGAACGGGTTGTTAGTTGTCTTCTTAGTCCTAGAAGATGCTACAGTCATGAACTGCGTTCTCCATATCTTATACATGTGCCAGGTTCTATCTGTGATTCCCCCCATTCTTTATATCTCTCCCCATTTTTAGGGCACATCATCGTGCATCTACTGTCCCGACTTTGAAACTATCGCTCGGGCATTCGAGACTCTCCAAAAGTACGGTTGCCGGCTCTCCGAATGCATTCCCCAGGACTCCGAGATTTTCACCAACCTCGTCTGCCATGCAGCAGAACCCAATACAGATGCGCTGAAAGTTTATTCGCTGGCAGCTTCACATGATTTCGAAGAACTCGCTGTCCAGTGCTCTTACTACACACTTCGCATCCCCATCAGTATGTCAGGGCACACCTGCCTGACCCCACTCCACCTGGTCCGACCCCACCTGATCCCACTATCCTCACCCGCTGCCCCCATCCTCCCTCCTCCTTTCTCTCCTTCTCCCTTTCCCTTTTCCTTCTCCTTCTTTCCTTTCTTTCTCCTTCTTTCCTTTTCTACTACACGGATGACTTCCTTGCTCGATGTACCAGTAACCAGGCTGCACAACACGCCCAGACCCGGACACACCGGGTGACGCCCTACACACCGGATGCACCTGAGACCTCTTATGGAGATACCCAGGCGGACACGGCTGTGCACGTAGATGACGTGGCACCCCCCACATGACCTCCAACTGCATGTACATAAACACAGCCTAAGTGGGAACTGAGAAGCAACCTTCTTCTCACACTTCCCACTTTAGGCAAGTAGCTTACATTCCCCTGCTAATAATAATAACACACTTCCCACTTTAGTCTAAGTGGCCACGGACCCTTACCTGCTTCAGGCCCGTTGTTACGCACGCCCATGCCGCACCCTACCGGGCCCTCAGCCCCGGGCGATATACCCAGATGCTGAAAGAGGGCTCGCAGCTCTCTATGCCGACTAAGCTTGTGGGGCCAAACTCCCTAAACTCCTACTTTCTTGACTGAACTTCACTATGCTCTCGATCCTAAAACTCCGTGGTGGGTTCTCCGGGATTTCCACAAGGTCCGGGCTCAGTGTCCACTACTCACTCGTTGTGAGCTAGATCACTGCCCTTATTCCTACTGTTGGAATTCCACACACTCACACCCTCTCTAGCACGTCCTAGCACCTTAGAGAAAATGGGGGAGGGGAGAACTTCTTTTCAAAAATCCGGTATGTACAGGATTATAAGAAATAATTATTTTTAGAAATAATAGATGTGAAATATTGGTGCCATATGGCACCTGGAAAAAAGGGTAACAGTAATAATAAAAGAATATCAATCAATATCTGAAATGATGGCAAAATATGAAAATAAAAGAAAATAAGCGATTTCTCAACGGATTTACGGAATTAAGAGCCGAAATTGGAAATGTGGCTGAATGGAACTATTATGCAGCCAATGGGCATTTTTACCAATTTATTAGACGCTGTGGGAACGAGTGAGGCTGGAATCCTGGGTTGCTGCTTGAGATTCCCACGCCCGCACATGCCCGTGACCTGCTGGGCCTAACTTCTCCAACACGGAACTCCGTCAAATCTCCACCGATTGGGACGTTCTTGATATCGTCAGAATCGTACGAATTAGGACTATTTTTAGATACCAAATTTGTACCGAGTCATCGCGTGAATGAAAGTCGTTTCCTAATCATAGAATCAGGTACTGTACTATAACAACCATTGGTTCAGTCACATGTCACATGCAAACTGTGAACTGAACTAAAGTAGGTTTTGTCACATGTCACAGCGAGACTTTGAACAGATAAATGTATTGACAACTGGTTCCCATGAAATCCGGGAGTTGCCGGAATTAGCAAATCAATTCAGTTTCAATTCAGTTCAAGATTTCACGTGATGTGTGGTGCATGTCACACTGAGAGATGAACTATGCAAGGAGATGGCAATCCCCGAAAACCGTGGGAATGAACCTATGGTCATTATAGTACAGTATCCAAGCCGAGTCTGTGCATGGGCGATTATCCCACCTACAACACTCTCAACCCCAGGTCGGTCCCTGACACAGTAGGGTCGATGAAGGCAGCTCTATCATGATGGGGCTGCTGTACCTGCTTCGCTTGTTGCGGCTCCATGCAACTCGAAGAGCTGCGCTTCACAGATTGCTTATGGAGCCACCAGAGTGTCATGAAGATACGTCGTTTTGCAACTGGAGGAGGCAAATAGGGACGACAAGGGCATATGGTCTGATCGCCGGCTACCTGACCTGGGAGGCACCAGCAGATGCCAGTGCAACGTGGATCACTACCGCTTTTGAATGGGTGATTCAGTGTGTGGAGTGTCCTCATTGCCAGATCAATTTATGGGCAAGAGTCTTGGGAGTTATAAGGGGCTGGAACGATGTGAAGAAGACAATTTAACAGCGATCACCCATTTGGGATCTGGGTTGTATTGTTGGATCCGTTGTTATTCATTGGATACTGCCATTACATTTTGTAGTTCCATAAAGTGCAACAGTCAAATCAGCTCCCCCGCCACTGCTTTTTCTTACCTCCACGGATATATATCGAAACTGGAAACATCCCCAGAATGATCGATAGCTTTATTACCAGGATCATAAGACTCTGCAGTACGAGATTATCTTTGATAGTGCTCGCCAAATGCAGGTTGCTTGAGCTGATTCATTGGACCCATTCTCGTCATCGACGCAACCCACAAACACTCAATGAGATTGCGAAGCAATCTTTTTTCTCACATCAAAACTCGTGGTTCTATCTGCGTACCAAATGGCAAAGTTGAGATGACAAACTACACTGAGGACCTGGCAATTCGTGGGGCGCATTGCCAGCATGTGAACTTGGAGACATAATAGCGAACACACCTAGGTTGCCAGCGAAAGCCCAAGAATGTCTGACGATGCTGCTGGTTGTGCTTCTGCGCCATCCGGTGGCAACAGCCCCTATGTTTTTCAGCCCTGATTCCCTCCTTGAATGAAGTGACGTTTTACACACAACTGGACGACAAGATGAATCCGAACAGAAGCAGCTTCAGGATGACCACAAATGCGCTCTTGTTCATTGATCGCTTCGAGCCTTCTGGTTTGTTTCCGTGAGCATGGTGAGTTCCTTGCATCTGGACTGCATCAGGCTCAGACCTTGGGACTAGAGCTTGAGTCCTTTGAAGTCCATGTTCTGTTCTTCCACTCCACAGATGGATGTTTGTCCAAAAGGGGTTTGCTGTTCTCCTGAAAATGGCCCTCCAGTCACCAATGAATATATTGAGAAAATGTCAACAGGCCTATCGAAGGGGGCGATTTTTATTTTTATTTTTTGACTCGCCTCCCTCTCGGTTCTCTTCTAGCGAGACTGAGCTGAGCCGAGCAACATAGACTTGCACAAATTTTGAGATCCAGGCTGTGCAAGAACCTGTCAACCCCGGGCACTAGGTACATGCGATACTCTGGGTGGATAAGTAGTCACACATTCTACGTAGAGTTGATAGTTTTTAAGCGATGGGACCTGTGTAATCAGACGCTGGGTTTAACAGGCCATTCCCCCCACATCCTCTGAGCCTCCCCGAGATTGTTCAACAGTACAGAACGAACTCTGCATGTCCCTGTCCCCTACTCAAGCGAGAATAATTATATATCCCGGCTCAGATTTCTCCATAGCCAGGACACAAGACGTGTTCTTGAGCAGGTGCCCCAGCGTGCATGGACACAAGCTTGCTGCCTACATTGGGACGCCATGCTGTGCATCTACCTGCAGCATGAAAGGAAACCGAGGTGTGAGGCCAAGGCTCTTTTATGAAACAGAATGAGCTGATGGCTTTCTTCAGTATTTGCCTGTTGGTGCTGCATTTCACGTTGAAGCCTCTTAAGACACTTCTTTTATTTGTTTAGGCATTATGATGCGACCACAGGGGCAGAGTCACGAAGATGACCTAGCAGTCAATCTCTCATAGTATCTCACCTTGACAGGGTTTCCTAAAATACCGATTGGGAAGCTTGCAAATCAGTTGGAGATACCATAAAGTTACCGCAGTGTACAAGTCACAAATTTAGCAATCCCCAGTGTGACACTGTGTCCATTGCAAACCATGAACAAAACGCTGCATGTTCAGTCGGATTGGCCGAACTCCTATAACCGTGAGGGTACTGGGCCGGAATAGGCCAAGGCGATGCTCTGGTGGGACCCAAAAGAGAAGTAGCCCGTCTGTTGTAGTCATCCAACCATCACTACGAAGCAATGAGCCATCAGAAAACATCGGCGCCCCGTCACGCACATCGGCATTCTCCGAAATGGAGTCGGACAGGGCGAGAGAAGAGCGCGATGATCGAGATATACTGTCAGCCGCCCCTGCCAAAGGCCGTGACGATCGAATCGTCTTATCGGGCGAGGCTGAGGTGATGTGGGTGCCATCGGGGGAGAGCACGGTCAATGGGGCCGAGCGCCCTTGCAAGGGCTCACTGATTGATGCAGCGTCCCAAATTCGGATTGTCTTGTCTTGGGAGCCCGAGGCAATGCGGGTGCAATCGGGAGAAAATGCAACCGACCAGACTGTGTTGGAGTGACCTTGCAGACACTCGCCAATCGGTATACCTGAAATGACATCCCAGATTCGAACTGTCTTGTCAAAGGAGCCTGAGATGATGTAGGCGCTATTGGGAGAGAATGCAACTGAACAGACCCCAGCAGAGTGCCCTTGCAGAAGATTGCCGATTGGAGCACCTGACATGACATCCCAAATCCGAACTGTCTTGTCGAAGGAGCCTGAGGTGATATAGGTGCCGTTGGGAGAGAATGCAACTGAGCAGACTTCAGCAGAGTGCCCTTGCAGTGGCTCGCCGATTGGTGCACCTGACACGGCATTCCAAATCCGAACTGTCTTGTCACCAGAGCCCGAGACGATGCGAGTGCCATCAGGGGAGAATGCGACCGACCGGACAGTGTGAGAGTGCCCTTGCAGAGGCCTGCCGATTGGTGCACCTGACACTGCATCCCAAATTCGAATTGTCTTGTCGGATGAGCCCGAGATGATCCAGGTGCCGTTGGGAGAGAATGCAACTGACCAGACCTTTCCGGAATGCCCTTGCAGAGGCTCGCCAATTGTCGCACCTGACATGGTGTTCCAAATTCGAACTGTCTCGTCTTCAGAGCCTGAGACGATGCGAATGCCATCGGGAGACAATGCAACCGACCGGATCGCAGCAGTGTGCCCCTGCAGAGGCTTGCCGATGGGCACACCTGATGCAACATCCCAAATTTGAACTGTGTTATCAGGGGTGACTGGGAGGATGCGGGTGCTGTCGTCGGAAGAGCCTGAGACGATGTAGTTGCCATCAGGCGAGAATGCAATCGAGTGAACCCAGCGAGAGTAGTCTTGCAGAGGCTCGCCAATTGGTGTACCTGACACAGCATCCCAAATTTGAACTGTCTTGTCAGAAGAGCTCGAGATGATGCGGGTGCCATCAGGAGAGAACGCAACTGAGTGGACCCAACCGGAGTGCCCTTGCAGAGGCTCGCCGATTGGTGCACCTGACACAGCATCCCATATTCGAACCGTCTCGTCTTCAGAGCCTGAGACGACGCGGGTGCCGTCGGGAGAAAATGCAACCGACCAGACCGCACCAGAGTGCCCTCACAGTGGCTTGCCGATTGGTGCACCTGACACGGCATCCCAAATTTGAACTGTATTGTTGGAAGAGCCTGAGATTATGTGAGTGCTATTGGGAGAGAATGCAACTGACTGGACCCAACCAGAGTGCCCCCACAGAGGCTCGCCGATTGGTGCACCTGACACAGCATCCCAAATCCGGACTGTCTTGTCAAAAGAGCCTGAGATGATGCGGGTGCTGTCGGGAGAGAATGCGAGTGACAGGACGAAGCCAGAGTGTCCTCTAAGTGTCTGACGAATCACAGGCCATTGCTTGGGAAGCCCTGATTGAACAGACAAAGTATTCTGGAATGCATTGCGCATACATTGTAGAACAGCAGACTGAGAAGGTGAAAACGGCAAAGCTGAGAGATAGATGTGTGGCACGCTCTGACCGATTGGATACCCGAAGATGTTCACAAATGTATATGCCTCTGAGATGATTTCTTCGAATCCCTGCTCGTAATTCTATGTAAGTAAATCAATCACTCGTTCCCATTGCACATGAGAAAAATGGCCTACCTTAGCCCAACTAGCCGCCTTCCTTAGAATAGAGGGTATCATAAACATGCGGTCCTTCACACTGAATACCTCAATCCAGTATAGGAACTGGCGATTGATGAAGTTCATAACCGCATCGACAAGGGGATGCGAACCTGGCTCTGACATAGATCCAAAATCCAAATGTTCTGCCCAGTATTCGCTTGCATACGTCAGCGCAGGCGTTATGGCCTGATCGATTCGCTGTTGAATTCCCTCGATTTCCCTGTTCCGGTAATAGGATGTCTCGATCCTGCAGATGTTAAATTTGAGATTTCGTTTCATCACCTGGAGACAGCCAGATGCAAGATCAAGGTGATGAACAGGTGTTCATGTGCCATTGCGGATCTTGACACCGTTTGGAGTCGCACAGAAAATCGGTAGAGGATGTATGTAAGACTTGAACAGGACGCCCGTGACCACCCTGCAACAGCGATTGCAACCGTGAGAGCACCACCTGGACCTTACCTAACTCCAGTCCTAGTAGCTGACTGAGCTGCCAATCTGTTAGCTGCTCACGAGCGACTACTATTGCACCGAGGATGGAATGTACAGCTTTGAGTTGTCAGGGGACGCCTGGTTATCCGGCCCCCCTTTACTCTAAGCGATATCAATGAGGTAATTGTTAGCCAAGATTGCGTGAGATAATTACGTAGTTAGAACGCAGATATAACTCATTGCGCTATATTCGCTATCGCGTCACCCCTTACCCGATATTCCCTCATTTCCCGCATCTTCTATCTTCCTATTTGATGTCGTGTTTCTATTAGTTACCATCTTCCCAATGTAACTGCGCTCTCGTGAGTTAGCAGAACTCATGTACATAAGGCTACTATGCCAGCTGGGCTAGCCCCCCAGCTTTGATATCGACTAGTTTCCTGGGGATACTCTTACGCTGCGAATAGACGCGCGGACTCTGACAAGTTCGTTTTCGTCGTATGAGTCGAATGGATGAGTAAGAGCGACCCGATACAAATTGTCCAACCCAGCATGCGGTGGGGCCTGTACTGATGCACTTAGCACCGTTTTCAACCTTTCTTCAGGAAAGTGGGATTCAAGGAAGCGAATGGTTGTAGATGCCCAAATGAAAAGACCTCCGGACAGAGCGACAAGCTGCCATATTACGGGGTCTCCCGGCCAATTGGATGACAGACCATGGCCTACGAAGGCATCAGCGCTGCAGGCAAGCCGTTGTTGGAAACAGAGCTTGATGTCAGATGATGTCGACTCATCCCCAATCGGCACGTCACGCACGTCAACACCCAGACACGACAGGGCAGCACCAATGTCGGGTTCGTCCCGGCTGGCTATCAGGAACCGAAAGGTACTCGGAAGCCTTGCAAGGCCTTCAGAGAGTGCGTGAAGGAGCTTTGTCCTCGTCTCCATAGTACCACACTCATCAAGGGCATCAAGGACAATTACAATAGAGCCCAAATCAAGCTCTGCTGCGAGTTCGGCCAGAGGCACCTCTAGAAGATGCTTGAATTGCATATCGAGGGTGGATGTGTCAGGGCTCGGTCCTCGATCAGGGACAGCCCGACCTCAGCCCTAGGTGTGTGCGGTGTTCCAGGTGGTTGGGCGCTAGACCCTGTCCTCAGCTCCTCAAACTCACTGAAGGGACTAAGCGGGGATTGAGTTGTCATGTATTACAGAGGGTAACTACAACTTGCCTAAGCGGGGATTGAGTTGAGAAGAAGGGTAAGTTTCCCTATTCCCCGCTTGGCTACTATAAAAAGGAAGTGTACTGTACAGTTCATAACGTGACTCCGGGTAGAAGCCGAGCATGTTCCCGCGACTCGGAAAAGGTGTCACATGGGTTAAGGCGAGTTGCTCGCCTTAACCCACGTGATTTTTCCCGCGGGCTCACATGCGGGCTGAAGCTGTGAGAGGTATGTAGGGATGGGGAGGTCTGGGGAGTGAGGGAAGTCTGGGAAGGTGGTTCTGGGGTGTGGTTGGGTGCCCTGACAGCGGGGTCAGGGGCCGATCCCTGACAGGATGTAGTAATGTCGGGCAATTTTTCGATTTGTTCAGCCATTTTCACGGCAAAAGTGGGATTGAAACGAGCCAGCTGGAAGGCAAGAGTACGTATCACACGAAGGGGTGAGGGTCGTTCCGGTCCCAGAACAGAAAAGCGCCACGTCGGCGCAGCTCTGAGAAGTGTTGAGCAACCGTGTTGAGCATGGTACTCTTGCCGGATCCAGCCGGTCCACGAAGCCAGATGACATTATGACCGGGAGGCAGGCTAGGATCTGTCAGGGAATCGATGAGGTTTTTCAAGATGTCTACTCGAGTCCCAGGCAAGCATGTATCTCGTGTTGTAGTACATCTACCTCTTGTTTGATTTCCTTTTCTTTTCCTTTTATGTGTCACATGACTGCAGAGATGAACTCTATCTGTTTCTACTCTTGTATAAACATTACAGTTCATCTCAGAGGTGCCATAACCTGAGTTACAACATCTCGATCTCCCACATCCATGGTCGCAGGCTTCAATGCCTCGATTTCAACTGCAAACCCTGAAGGTAAGTAATGTCCGGTGCACAGAAGGTGGAAGTCATCGCACCAAGTTTTTCCACGCCCCTGGATATTTGGACCGAGATGAATGCACTGTAAGATGTTACACCCATACAAAGGTCCTTGTTAGCACCCCCAAGAGGTTCAAGATCGTTTGGGAGGTGTTTGAGAATGTTTGGTGAACGAGTCGGCCTGGGCACATTGATTGTTCACTGAACTAACACAACCGACAACGAGCGGCCTACCTATGAGTCAACGGAACACATACTGCTTAATGAAAATTCCGCATTCCGTCATTTGGACAGAAATTCGGATGATGCTGGCTTCGAGGAGCCGAATTTTGTTTTTCAGCTCATCGACGGCATCGATGAACGAATAAAGGTCAGCCATAGACGCGACAAGACCGCAGAGTGCGTCGTCTCTCTAATCTGCCCTCGAACAGCCTGAAACAACCGCTCGAAATTGTCAGCGCACGGGTTTGCGCTATAATAACGACGAGTTCATACCTGGTACGCCGAACTCAAGACCTGCCAAACAATATTTGCGTAAGGATGGAGCTGCCCGACGGCGTCAGCGCAAACTAAAGATATGTTACCGCGGAGCAATGCATACCTTGGCTGTTTTATCGACAAAATCCACCACAGTCTTGGTCTTGTCGACCACTTTGAGCACGCTGCCTAGATCTCGAACCGCAGCCGCTGAGTCAGTAGCGCCTCGAACCGGCTCGGGAATCTCGAGTGACGTAGGTAGGTCCTGGCAATGTCGTGTGCGCGGCTTGAGGAACTCGCTTCGTAGTGTCCAGCAACTGAACAATGAGCGAGCCTGCCTCTCGACCCCGTTCGTCATGGAGGTTAGGGTAGTTCCTGCAGCGGTTTTAAATGAGACCACCCAATGAGGCAAGACTAAGGATAACCAGCTCAGGTTGGTTATTTATCTAGCAACTTTTCCGTTGTGATGTGCACAGAACGAAGTAGGATGGGACCGAACCATTTGCGGGAGTGCTTGAGATGAAAGGACAGAACAGAAGACAACTCCGCTGTTCTGATGGTACGTACTTTAGCAGACTATCTAGGCTGACCTCCGTTAATCGCAAAACCTACATAAAATAAGTGCGACCCTAAGTTGGGTTGTGTTTTGCCTCAGTTTTGTCAAGTTCATTTCCCGATAATACAGGCCTGACATAAAGCGCTGGGCCCGGGGGTGCTTTCTTGACGTCTCCGGCCTTAATGACCACTTTGGAATGAGGGTGGATGGAACCACTAGAACGAAGGTGACGCACTAGCCAGGGAGTAAACGCGTTTGGAGTCTCCATGAGTTGTCATGTGGACCACTGGATTTGGCTCAAATCAATTCATGGGCCGTCCCTCGGTCCATCATTGTCCTGTGCGTAGCCGCGCACCTGGGCTCTGACAGCTCCGCTTGGCGGCTTAGGCGGGCCTTTTCGCCCGGGACTAAATTCATTTTCTGACCAGGTCCTCCATTATTGCAAATTCTCAATAACCCAGGGTCCTCCAATCATTACTCAATATACTCTCATCCCACTTCGTCTGCCTTCTCCCTGCATCCTTTCTACTCTCGATCGTTACCCTTCCTCAATCCCACAATGCTTTCCATTCCACGGAGGTCAGCGATCGTTCCAAACTGGCGGAGGTGACTGTCTTCGGTATTGTCATGAAATCGGACTACAGCAACCAGAAAAATGCAGCATTTAATGCGTGGAAGGAGCATGGTGCACGCGTTCGTCGTTCAACTGTCACTGTCACTGAGTCCTCGTCCTCACCGTAGCGCCTCAAAGTCGATTCCACCAAGTTCCAATTACACTTAGGGTTACCACTGAATCGTTACTTAAGGAACAAATTCTCACAAGTTATTACTCCCGTAATACAGTTGCTCGACGCTCCAGTTATATTTAGTTATTACCTTGCTTTCCCCGTGGAAAGTCCTGGACATCTGGCACAACAATGTCGAACGGAGTCTCGATTGGGTACCTTCTGTCATATCACCTCCAGAGTCTCCAACAAGCACAAATGTCAATCCGAGGAGCCCCAGGGCACCTAATTATGTTTGGGAGTATCGGAAAGGAGTTGCTCCAAGTGATCGAGGCTTAGTAATTATCCCGGGTGCTGGAGCGTAAGCGTGAGTAATCCATGCCAATGCGAAGAAGCTCGGTGTGCAATCGGGGCTACGTCGGATGAAGAGTCCGAAGTCGTGTAATATTGAGTGGCTGCAACTATGGTTCGGTATCTGAGAATGTTAATCCGAGGGGTCTTCAGTGCATCGGAAGGTGCCCCGGGCATGTGCTCCGTCTTCCACTTTCTGGTCGTATATATCTGGACATATTGACAGCTGCCATTGCACAAAGAATACCAGTGCTACTGACCTTGGCCAGGGTGTTGGGATTGACGACACCATAATTCGTATTTTCATACTCTCGCTTTACCTCTGATCTAGCTTCTTTGCTGTTAAGATTAAAGAAAAAATCCGTCGAAGCGGGGTCGAAGATTTCGTTTGCGAATGGAGAATCATCCGATGGTTTGAGACTTCCTCGGTGAATGATGAGATCGACGGAATGGTTGGATGGAACTGAGTGCTCGGAGCTAGGGGCAGGTGGAGGGAAGACACTCAAACGGGCTTGGATGTCAAGGAGGACTTCAGCTGCGCTCTGACCGCTGCCAACGACAGCGATACGGACTGGTCGAAAATTGGTACTCTCACTCTCAGTCGTAGTTGAGGGGCGTTTGAAGATGATGTCACTCAGGATATCATGCATAATGCCGTCGATGCGGTGCGCATATACTGAGGTGTGGATAATTCGACTGGGAGCTCTGACAGCAAGCGCAGATAGCGAGGGAGGTACCCTCGGTGTTCCTCCGGGCGCGATAACAAGATGCTTTCCTCTCCGGACGCGTTTTACGGGGTGTTCACTCTCGGAAAGCGAGGTTACTGAGACGACTAGGCCATCGCTTTGAATGCTCAAGACCCTCTCGCCGTAATGAACCAATCCACCGGGCTCGCGGGCAACTTTTTCCGCAGCCCATATCAGATAGTCGGAATATTCACGTCGACTGGGGATGAAAGAGCCTCGGTTAATGAATGTGACGAGACGATTGTGTTCGTGAAGGTAGGAGAGGAAAGTGTATGAAGAGGTTGGCGATCGTAGCATGGCTAGATCTTTTAGGAAGCTGCGGTCTGTAAATTTCGTCATGAACGGAGAAATAGGTTCACAAGACTCGCCTGATTTGCATGCTTGCGCCTGGCAGGAGCATGCCCGGATGCCACTGAAATGACGAGCTTTTTTCAATAAATGTTATGGCATCTGGGGGTAGTGGTTTTCCTCGTGCCTAATGCTTGGACTTTGGAGTGTGTATGATGTGTAAGAGCGCACTTCACATACGATATATGCGCGTTTCTTTTCAAGGAAAGCTATTGCAAGGGCCAGGGCGGCGGGGCCGAACCCCACGCAGACCAGATCGGAAATATGCCCATGACATTCAGTATCCATCATGTCTCAGGGAGAAAGATCGAACGCGAGGAATATTCCCGCTATTCCGTAGCAGTTTTCGCGATCTGTGCAAGAGGTCCTCTAAAAGTATCTTCCGCGGACTTATCAGATAACGCCAGCGTGAAATTGGGGAATTGTTGGTGGATGTTATTGAAACCTAGCAAAAACTCACGGCAGGCATCGAAAGAGGGGAGCGATTGATTAGGGTCGATAGCATAAAGAGCGATGCACACGGAGTAACGAAGAGCGTGCGAAGCATGAGAAGACAGGAGGTACTCAAACAGAGCGCGGCAAAAGAGATCACGCGAAGGATATTGAGAGCGGTGAGCAACACACGCATCTAGACAGCTGGAATAGCAATGAGCACAGAGAATGTGGCGTAAGAGCAAAATCCGTTGATCGTTGATCGTCAATGAGAAGTCATACAGGCCGTGAGCTATCGTTTCTTTGGTGAGATGGTAATTGGAAACCCCGTCATTGGTTAGGAAAATTAATGGCCACGAACCGTGAAAAAACGCTAAGTTGGGAGAAGACGACATGGTGTAGTGCAAGAGTACGGAGAGGGGAGAGTGCACTTGGTGTCGAGGGGGAGATCGGATAAGCCAGGTTGTAAAGCACGTGGACATGAACAAGGAGGTTTCCAGCGTTCAGCTGTCGGCAAGCGTGATGAGCTAAAATCGTATGTCAGCAAGCTGAGGCAAAAAAAAGGTATAACCGGGGTATAACCAATATTTGTGCACGGCCATTCAGTCTACGCGTCCAAGACCCGCTGCAGAGTAGCGGCAATTTCACATCGTAATATGTATTGTAGTTTAGCGGTTCAATGTCATCACCGGAACTTGGTTCTCAAAAAATCGCCCCAGAACCGAACCACCCCTAGGCCACTACGAGTAATAACTCCTTTGCGCTCTTCGCTGCCAATTGAAGGGGCGGGTGCCTGGGAATTACAACGAATATGTCCCTTGCATTCCGAATGAAAGGTCATACCAATTCCCAGTAGGCTGCCATTGAGATATCCCAATAAAGTCCAATAGTAAATCCAGTCGGAAGGTGGAAACAAAGGACGAACTGATGTATGTCCGTGCGATATGAGACCAATTGCATGCACACGTGAAATGGCAGCCTCAATACCACGTTCTGTCGAATGCAACGATCGACAAGCAAACAGCTGGGTGAACGAATCGGGCCCCTCATTGGAGGAGAAGAGCAAGCCAATAGCGAGCATTCCGGACGAATGGTGACTGCGCATGCGTATCGCAGACGCCTAATTCGCTGATCCAACAACAAACTGGGTCTGCAAATTGACAAGAAACAAGATGAGAGAACATGTCAGCGATGCAATCCTTCAGATGCACGACTCCTCCGATGACCCAATTACAGAATAAAAAAGGAAATCCACCTGCCGGTATGCACGATTCAGCACGAGGTCAAGGTACGCGATTGTTGTACAACACCCAAACAGCGGTCGGCCCCGGCGGATCAGGATCGCTATATCTCAAAATTGTGTGGAGCCATCTGCCACCAGGTGCACAGGCATCGAGTGAACCCAAAAGTAAATGCAAAAGCGCGGAGTGAGAGATGTACAGAAGTTATGTGATATAATGTGAAAGGCAAAAAAAAAAAAACACAGAACCAACAACTGCTCACTATGCCCAGGAATAACTGGCGCCGATAGACTGCAAGGATAGTTCTCCAACGTAATGAAAATGGGTTATTTCAACGGTGTTTATGACGGGAGGAGAAGGGGAAAGAGTGGTGAACGGCATATACGGTGGTCGGCATCGGTGACGTTGAGTGAAGGTTGTTCGGCTTGGGTGGCAACGGCAACGAAAACCCTCATTAGCATAAGTGGCCCAACGAAGAGGAATGAGAACTGTGGGACGGCGGAACGTGCTGGCAAATCAGGGTTTCGGTGGATGTGTGGAAGGCCGAACCGACCGCCACTACCGTCGGAAATAGATCTAGAACCAGGAGCGAAGAGCGAAAACGTCACGAGTTCAAGGTCTTGACAAGGCGAGTGCTGCGCCGAACGCCGCTAACATGTTAGAAGATAAAACGGAGTCAAAGCTGAAAATGCTGCTCATTTGAACGTGAAGTCTACAAGTGAAGTCCAAACGCTTTAAAATGACAGGTTATGACTCAGGCCAGGTGCGTTGTGGATCGTTGAGGAACTGTGGCTGCTAGGTTCTGGTCGACTCCAGCGAGTACGAGTTAGGTGGAGCTGGGTTCGAACTTCAGTCGTTGGTGGTGAATAGATCTATGAACTTGCTATGAATGGTGCATTATCGAGGGGGATATGCAAATTGAGTTGAGAGGCATTGGAGCAAAACATGGGTCGGGGTTGTAGGGCTGAATGAATATTGGAGTCAATATTTGAGGGCTCGATCTTGTTGCAGTCACAAGACCTCCGATCGGGTCCCATCTGTTGTCCAAATGCCCTTGATTCGTCATCGTACTGGGGTGTCGCAATGAATAACTATGTGTTGGCCATTTGAAAGGGGAGACTGCGTGCCAGAGTTCCTTTGGTCATATTGCAGGTACTATTCTTGGTGGATTCCTCGTGCGGAACAACACGCCACTGAAGTTGCGGCGTGAGAGTATGATGAATGTTCTAGCCGTGTATTAGCGCTCTCTGCCAGAACAGGCGTGCTTGTGAGGACTTCCTGATTAGGCGACTTGAAGGCTGTTGCTGAACTGACTTGCGCCTGAGTCCTGACTCCTGACAACGTGTTGTTGAAACCGTCGCTCCAATTTGTCCAAAATGTCCAAACTAGTAAAGAAAGTCAAGGAAGGCAAGGAAAAAGTCAAAGGGAAACTTTTCAAGAAAGACGGATCATCGCAAAATCAGCAAAGCCAGCCTCTTGCAGGCGGGTCATTAACTGTCGCACCCACGCTGCCACCGTCAAGCCAAGAAACGGGTCTTGATACCGTTTGGAATGGCGTTTTGAATCTGCTGAGTGTTGCTAAAGAGACTCTGGATGTTGTCCCGGTCCCTGGACTCAAGAGCGCGGTCGGCGGCTTCCTTGAAGTAGTTAACCAGCTGAAAGTGAGTCACTAAAACTCCTTCAACGGTTCCTTTATGCCAATAATTTCCGCTCTTGCAGCAAGTTAGTGGCAACGCTGGTGCAATTCGTCAACTCGAGAACAGTGTCGAATTCTTTAATCAGTCAGTGTCGAAGCCGCTCGAACAATTCAAGGGGAAAGGGCCTGTTCCACCCGAGCTTGCCCAGGCAATCGATGACTTATCGGCGTGCGTTTACGTCTCCGAGGAGTGTCTTGGAGTCGAAATAGTCTGACTGTCCCTTTCAGTGATCTCGATAAGGTTGTTTCGCCGCTGAGATTGTACCTAGATCGAGGTCTTGTTCTCCAGTGGGCGGATCATAACAAAATCGGAGGTGATGTCCAGGCAGCTGGGGAAGGGATACGTGATGCAGTGAGGGCCTTTCAAGTATGTATCCTTCGCTACCTGTAAGCCGTGCGCCAAACGCTAATTAATGGACATAGGCTGCGCAAGTAGTCCGACTTGCCTTAGGGATTGAGGTGCGGTTCAGTTTGCACCTGCTCTCTCAGCCTTCAAGCTAACCAATCCTCTAGCAACTCCGCGTGGATGAAGAAGCAAATCGATTACTTGACACTCTTCACTATACCCTCGACGCCGGCTATGACACCAGCAGGCAGGGTGCCCCATCCAACTGCTTCCAGGGGACGCGAACTGAGATTCTTCATAAGATTGAGCAATGGTTGCACCGACCAGTCAACGATACGACTAAATCTGTGTTCTGGGTAAACGGTCTAGCTGGGATCGGCAAGTCGACTATCGCCTGCACCATCGCGCAGTACGCCGAGAAATCTGGCCTCCTTGGATCGAGCTTCTTCTTTGTCCGTCAACACGCCGAGTTGTCCAATGCGAAGTTCTTTCTTGGGTCGATCATACGGGACTTCGCCAAAAAGCTTCCGAGTTTCGGCGCGGCCGTTGCGGATGCGCTGAAGAAAAATGAAAAGCTTGCCCATGTCTCCATTTCCACCCAATGCTCCGAGCTTTTCTTCGCGCCCGTTGGACGCCTCAAGCTTTCTGCGCCTCTTCTCCTAGTAATTGACGCTCTGGATGAGTGTAGCCGAGAAGATGCGAAAGAAATACTCCACCATCTCATCCCTCGTTGCACTGGCATCCCGGGCCTCCGGATACTCATAACAAGCCGGCCAGAGTACCATATCACTAACAAACTTGACCCAGCCATGAATGTTGACAAGATCGTAGTTCATGAAGTGGATAAAAACATCGCTTCGCATGACATTGAGTTATATCTGCAAGATCGGCTCAAATCTATTCACGAAGATTTTAGTCGTTTCGTCCCGGACGGATGGCCATCATCTGAAATGGTTTCTGGCCTCACGAAGAAAGCTGATGGGCTTTTCATCTGGGCCGCTACCGCAGTCAAATTCATCGGAGATGATAATGTCAGGGATCCTGTGCGTCGATTGCACACCATCATGGGTGGTGTGGATCTGCATGATGCGAGTCCTTATGCTGAGCTGGATAGTCTTTATGAAGCAGTCTTGTCTGCCAGTGTTTTCGGAACCCCTCGAGATATCCCTACCCAGCTCTTCCGTCTTCTACATGCAGTTGTTCTGCTTAAGGATCCATTGCCTGTGAAAGCACTCGGTGCTTTTGCCATGGTCTCCAATCCTACACCGTTGCTTGATCGCATACAATCCATCATACCACTGCCTTCAGAGCCGAAGGGTAGAGTTGAAGTCTACCACCCTTCCTTTCCAGATTTCATCATAGAACGGTGCGGGAACCCTGAGCTTAGGGTTAGTGTAGGGAGGCATGAGAGGTGGATGGCCCTTCGCTGCCTTACTCTGCTCAACACCAATCTCATTCCATCTATTGATGAGATTGTCCCATGGAATTCACTCAATGTGGGGGTGGTGAACCTGAGTGCCAAGCTTACTTCAGTGGTGGGGGAAGAAGTGCAGTATGCATGCCGCTTTTGGACAGCCCATTTGGGAAAGCTTCAGGAGGTTGATGATGGTGAAATTAGGGATGCACTGGAGAAGTTCACTGGTCTTGGGAATACTGGAAAGGGGCTTTTGTTACGATGGATTGCTGTGATGAGTATGATGGGGCATGTCAGTGATGCTGCTAGAGGTATATTGGACATTCTTCCTTGGATGGTTAGTGATGATGCTGCTTGCTTGAGGACTCTATTACTGACTATTATATTAGAG